GTATATACATAGCGTTCAGGGTTTACAGTGGTTTAGTAATTTGCTTATATCTTTCACAAATATTAGGTATCCAATTTTAAAAACAAACAAGATTTTAAGTTACATTTTTATGCTGTACGTCATATCCTACTTTAAAAATATAACCTCAAAGTTTTGTCATAAAATTAATATCGATTTTTTGTTAAAAAATATCATTTTTATTTTATTTTTTTGCTTAGTTTTAAGATTAAAGTATCCCAAAAACTTGTCCAAGTTAATAATTCTTAGTTTTTGATGAAATTTGGAGTTTTTTATTTTCTCTTTTAAGCCTCTGTTCATTAAAATCAAATTGCAAATACAAAAGCTTCTGCTTTAGGTTTTCACGGGAGTTATATGTATTAGTGGTTTTTCGGGATCTGCTTGGTATTGTCGGTTTTTGGTTCTTAAAAGAACCGTATGTTTCGGTACAATCTCATGTACCATCTTCAAGTCTTATCTGCTGGGCTGCTCTGTTTATTATGATATATCACAAACTTATACTTATGTTTTAAATTTGATGCTATAGATAAGTTTGTAATTATATTTCTTAGTATTACGTTATTGTCAAACGCGGATCAAAATCTACCCAGAAATGCCTATAGTTATAAAGTAAATATTTGTTTTACTAAATGTCTGGCAATGGCAGATTGTGGTTTTTGGGTATACCGATATATCAGTTATTCACTAAATTTTATTGGCAAATTTTAAAATTTATTAAAAAATCTAAGAATTACAGATTTTATACCATTTTAAATTTTTATTATTCTTTTAACCAAAATTTTAAAAAATTAAAAATGGTATTAAATCTGTAAGTAATGGATTTTTAAAATAAATTTTTGAAATTTATCGATAAACTTGAATTACGAATTGCACCAGTTTAATTTGAATATTTTTAATAAGGGGTGGCAGGGGGCTGGTAAGGCGCGCTGAAAAACTAACTTTTTTTCGAAAACCTATTTAAATTTTGCTTGGGCAGAACATGTCTTTTTAATGTCATTATAAACTCATATAAGTTTGGTGTCTACTAACTGAGATATCGGTATACCCAAAATCCCAATCCGCCACTGATGTCTGGTTATAAGTAATACTTATTAAGTATGCATAAAAGCATCTCGAACAGTAAGGGTTTACCGATCTCCTGCAATATTGGCCACTTCCCTGCGCTTAGTCGCCAAACACTGCATTCCTCACTTATTGGGTCTAATAAATATATGCATATATATGTTTAATAAATTAATAATCTTTTGTTTAATTAATAATACTGTTATCCAGGTACTAAAATACTATAAAGTAACAATAGGTAGTAAATGAAGGTATATTTTCTATTTCTATTTTTAATATTTTTCTATTTTAAATCATGAAATATTTTTTTATTTATACAGTGTGTCTACTTAAGTTGGAAAAAATGGGAATTAATAATAAAATTTTAAGAAAAAAAGTTATTCCTCATTAAAAGTTCTACATGTTCTAAAATCTAATCATCAGATATAAAAAGAATTTCAGTTGTATACGTAGTTTGTCAAAAAATATGAAATATGACAATATCGAAAATTCTTATTAAGAAAAGTTGATCAGAACTAAAAACTACGTTTAAATTACTTCCATTTACATTGACTATTTCCCTCGTCTTAATTTCCACGAATTACAAACGCGCAATTTTGAATTACAAATGGTTTCTAGGTGGAAAAACTGTATGACAGCACCTGTCAGCAGTTTTTTCGAGATTACCCGCGGCAAAACTTGACAGCTGTTGTCACCAAAATTGCAATTTATATTTTAATTGTACCATAAATAATTAAGTTTGTAGTATTTTGTCATTAAATAAATTACCTAATTTTTCATTTTTCAAATTAATACCTACATATTTATTATGTTTGCATGTTTAATATGTAGTATGTTTTGTAAGCTACACTGAAAGAAATATATACTAAAGTTAAATAAAAAAATAATTAGGGCAAATATATTTTATGTTTCAAATATGGACTACCACATACATTGCTAAAACAAATATATTCGTTTGGTTAGCAGCCTATTGCTGCCCTAGCAATATAAATGTGTTTCTAGCAATATTTTTTTGCTGTAATTCACTTATAGTTTACATTTTATAGTAAGGGTAAGTTTATTTTTATTTAGATCGAACATATCTTCTTTACAATAAATGTATTACAAAATTTAACATACATTCATAATAAACAGTAGTATAAATGTGTAAAGCACTAGTATAAAATTTTTAGTATAAATTTGTATTTACTTTTAGCAACAAATTTCTTTCAGTGTATGTGTATGCAGAATAACTGTTACTCTTGAAATAGTCTTGTCAAATACCATTCGGGCATCCAATTTTTGCTGTGAAAAAAATCGAAATACAATGCTAAGTAATATTTTTTAACAAAATGCATTCGTGCAGGTGCAAAAATCCTCGTCTTCAACTCGTATTTTTGTTGCCACCAGCACTCATGCTTCTTGTTAAAATATTACTTAGCAACGTGTTTTTTCGATTTTTCTTCGAAAAAATTAGATGATATTACTTACGAAAAAATACCATTTTCTTTTTTGTTTACAATAACAATGCAAATGTTACATGTAATCTAGGATGCACTGATAAACAAATGATTTGTTGATAGCAAGAAAGGTTTGACATTGAATTTCAAAACATCAGAACTTGCTTATTACTTTCTGAATGGAACGGAAAGGTTATCATGTTTGTAATAAATAAAAAAGATAAATGTTTGGTATAAGTAATTTAAGAAAAATTAAAAAAAAAATTAAGTAAAAGGATGTAATTTCATATTAAAACCTACTTTTTTAATCCGAACAACTTTTCATAATTACAGTTTTTAAAATTGTCACAAATAAAGGTACTTTACTCTTGTACCAAATTCATATTTTTTGTCAAACCTCGTATATGACTGAAAAAATGTATTATCTGATAAATTTATTTTTGATTTTAGAATATGCAGAACTTTTTATAAAAAATAACTTTTCTTCGTAAAATTATTAATAAGAAAATTTCCCATATGTAGCCAACTGTATATAAATTAATAACAAACTTAATTTAGACAATTACATTTTGAGATTGATCAAAATGAGTTCTTTCTGCGTTCCTTTTGAGTTTTTAATATACCTATTTTTAAATAGTGACAAAGACGTTACCATTTTTTATAATAATAATAATAATAATAATAAGTAACTTTATTGTTAAATTAATGTAACAATAGGCGAAGTTCAGCAAATTGCCACATGGCTGCTGTTCTTCCACTTAACCTAGCTTAACAAATAAACTGTAGGTACTTATTCTAGCTACAGGCAAATAAATTTGTGCAATCAAAATAAGATACATAAACTGTTGCAGTTAGACTGCGTATAAACATATTGAAATATAATAAAAAGAATTTTATGATTAGCATAAATTAAAAAAGTTGTCAAAAATTAATTGTTTTAATTTGTTTTTAAAAAGTAAAATTGAGCATGCTTTCAAATTGTTAGGTAACAGGTTATAAAAAAATGCGATATTATAGCTAAAACTTCTTTGATAAATAGAGGTTGTGTGCTGAGGGATTGTGATAGTACTCTTGTGTCTTAAATTTAAGTGATGTACATCGGTTCTAAATTTTATTTTATTATACAAATATTGAGGCAGCTTAGTAGTCACTATTTTCTTGAAAAGAACAAGGGAATGCAATACTCGCCTCTCTCATCTTAAGCCAACTCAACTGTTTGATCTTAGGTGTAATATGATCTCTGCGCCTAATACCACAAATAAAACGTACACACATGTTTTGTATTAATTGAATTCTATTAGAATCCTCTTTGGTAAGACAATTACCATAAACGGTATCTCCAAAGTTAAAATGGGATAAAACAAGAGAATCACAGAGCATTTTCTTAGTTTCTAATCTAATTATTTGACGAAAGGGAAAGAGGAGTTTTAAATTTAAAAAAGATTTTCTGACACATGAGGAAACATGACTTGAGAATCGCAATTGGTTGTCCAGTATAATTCCTAGATTTTTGGCCGATTCTACTATTTGTAGTTGATTATTATTAATATAAATTTTCACGTGCTCTTTATAGGCTGCAACTGAATTTTTCCTTCCAAATATCAAAACTTGTGACGGATTAATATTAAGACAGTGGTTTTCAGATTGCTTAATTAAGGATTGTATATCTTTGTTTAAACATTTAATTGCATTTAAGGTATTTGATGGATGAAAAGAATTGTAAATCTGAGTATCATCAGCATAAAAGTGGTAGTTGCAAGACTTAATATAACCAGGAAAATTGGAAGTATAAATAGTATAAAACAGAGGTCCTAGGATTGAGCCCTGAGGAACTCCACATGTAATATTAGAGGAATCTGATAATATATCTTTTAGTTTAACCACTTGAGATCTATTATTTAAATAACTCTCAATTAATCGCACCGCGTTATGGCCGAATCCAATATATTTCAAAATGACCAACAAAAGACTGTGATTGATTCTGTCAAAAGCCTTGGAATAGTCTAAGAGTACCAACACCGTAATCTTATTTTGATCAATTGCTTCTAAAATATCATCAGTTACTTTTAAAACTGCTGTAGCACAACTGTGATCCGATCTAAACCCTGATTGGACAGTAGGTAATATTTGAAATAAATTTAAATAGTTTGTAATCTGCTTACTCATCACCTTTTCCAAAACCTTTGACAGAACCGGAAGAATACTAATAGGCCTGAGATCCTTATAATCTAGAGGGTTTGAGATTTTTGGCATTGGAATCACAATAGAAGTTTTCCATAAATCAGGAAAAGAATTAACTTCAATGCAGGAGTTTATTATGTGGGTAATAATAGGAACAACGATAGGACAGCAAAGCTAGATGAGAATTAATTAAAACTTATTATGGATAAAATTAAAAACAACTTTTTATATAAATTTAAAACAAAATGGTTGACATCTCATCGGTCTTTATAAAACTTTAAACGTAAGAATGAAGAAAAACTAAATAAAAATGTAATTTAAAGATTTTTCACAACCAGGTCCATCAGGTGTTGAAAAGGATTTTTTGAATTGTTTCGACCGAACTAAAAGGTATAAGGTTAAACATTTACGGGAATCTGTTGATTTTAACCTGTTAACTGAAGCTGCCAAGTCTCCCGAAAATGTTATGAACAAAATATATGCCCACTGTCAGTGGGCCACTGAGTAGGCGTTGGCATTGATAACAGAGGCCCAATTATCCAGGTTTCAATATAAACTATTTAGAAATGTCGTAAAGGATTTTGGGCATGACATTTTACCACCCAATTATAAAGTTCTTGAAGCCAAAAATGAATGCTATCCAGATAAATTTTATGTCACTGAAACAAGTGCGCAGGTAAATTTGCAAAGTCTTTTGGACCATACTTCAAAACGTATATTGGAAGCAATTCAAATTAAAGAAAATGATTAGTAAATGGTGTTGTGATGGTACTTCCGGCCAATCCGAAAATAATAAAAAATATTTGGTGCAAGAAAATCAAGAAACTTTAGATGATAGTATATACATTAGGGTGTCCCTTATTTTTTTTTCCCTAATTATATTTATTACGTGTTTATATACTCCCAAAAAAAATTTTAGCTCATTCTATAAACGGGAACCCGTGTCGACTTGCATCTGAACCCTCCGTTAGCCAACGTCAGGCGCGCGGTATTTTGTAACACGGTTGGTCGCGAGGTCTTCGATCGTAAGTCATTTTGTGTTTGTTATTATGTGACCCTTATATTATAAATTATTGACAAATGTTAAAATATAGTTTTATTCATGTGTATACTTTGATAAAAATGTATATTTTCACAGGGAGTAGCTAGTTACAGGGAAGGGTCTATTGAATAGGCCGTAAACTCTGAAATTGATAAACTTAATGGGTTTTACTCTAAATAACTAAAAGAGTCTATTGTGGGAGATGACTACCGAAAACTTATTGAACTGTCTGAAATATTTTTGGGAGGACATCAAGAAAAGAAATGCTTATAAAAAGCTGAAATTTCATATAACAGTATATTTTAGCAATACTTATTAGTATATTAATATATTTAAGGGATAAAATCAACTAAATTAGTGAAACAAATGTTAGAAACAAAAGCAATAATATTAATTAGTAATTATATTTAATAAAATCATTATAAAAATACAGTCATGAAGTATATCTTCTTTTTAAAGTGTTTTTTTACAATTAGGATATAGATTTCTGTGCTGTTGCACGCAACGCAGAAAAAATTGTTTCTGCTCTTCATCGGCGGTTAACAAACCGTGAAAGTCCTGCATTAGCTTAACTGCTCTTTCTGCTGTGTCATTTATAGCTTTTAAGGATACAGCTTGACTTTTAGCTTTTAAATAGACTTTATTTTCTTTCCACGAAGAAACGCTCTCCTTCAGGAAACTGTCGTCGATCTTTAGGCGTGAAAATAAGTTCTTACTCTTATTTGATACGAAGTCTTCTAGGGATCTGCCTAAATCATAAATAAAATAAGTATTTTTTAATAAAACTATATAACAAAAACCTAAGTGCAACTACGTCTTACCATACAAAGTGTTTGATATCTCTTCTTTAGATGGAATATATCTCTTTCCAAGATCAAACGTTTTTTCACGTTCTAGGTTGGATACCATTTTCGTTTTCGTTTGGTCATCAACTTCGTCGTCAAAAAGGGCCAAGATAGCAATTTCGTCACACAAATACCACAGATGCTGGCAAAATTTGGTCAGAGCTGCGTTTGAAATAGATTTATCAATTGCTTCATACTTTTTTAAAGATTTCAAAAAGGATAAATCTTGATTTGGTGCTTTTGCTGCCAAAGTACACTGAAGCCAGGGTTTGACGTAGGATGTCGCAATAAATAAAGAAACATCCGGGAGGACTTGCTTTTCTTCAGCACTGATTTTAAACTCGGATTGCAGCAAACAAATTTTCAAAGTATAAATGGCCCTTGCCATCCATCTCGCTTGGTGCATCGCTCCAGGAGGTCTGATTTTTAATTTCTTTTCTTGATCTCCGCCCAAAAATATTATTGAAAGCTCAATAAGTTCTCGGTAGTCATCTCTCACAATAGGCTTTTTTAGTTCTTTCGAGTAAAACTCATTAGGTTGATCAATTTCAGAGTTTATAAAATATTGTTTCACAGAGTCAATGCACAATTGAATGTTATGCGGATTAATATTCTTCCAATTTTCTTTAAACTTTTTAAAAAGCGAAATATCTGGGCTTCTAGCGACTTGGTGAATTTTTGCTTCAAATACGCTTTTTAGAACGAGTTCGTACACATGATGACGACAGGGGAAAAGTAACAGCTCTTTTTCCAGTTTTTGTTCTAATAGAGTACAAGCTCCATTGAAACGGCCTGTATTGGAAGCCGTTGTATCGCAACTCATGATTTGCACATTATCACTAAGGTCCCAATCATGAAGGGCTTTGAAAACGGCCAAAGCTTGCTCTTTACCTGATGAACTATCTAATTTTGGCACAGCAAGAAGTTGCTCTTTATTTTCATACGATATAACAATCGGCAATCGTTCCTCCTTCGAACTTCTTACGTCTACAGCTGGCAGCAATTTTCCATCCCAATGGATAGTCACAATTTCCGGAATATTGTTCTGAAAGTCGTTTTTTATCATCTCTGCCCTCTCTTTTCGTATCTGCGTACGAATGCGTTGTATTGAAGATTTATTTATTGCAAATTCATCAATAGTAAGACCCAATGCTTCCATTACAGCCTGAACTATGTAAACAGAGTTTCTTATGCTTAACTGACATCTATCTAAAGTTGTTACTAGTTTGGATGTAAAAATATTTTGTCTGCCCCTTTTCGAAATTCGACTATCTAAGCTTTCAGTAAAACTATTAGAACTCCAAGAAGCATCAGATTGAGTTGGTGAATTATAATGCGAAGAAGCCGATTCAGCAGTATACGACTCTAACTCTAAATTTCTCTGTCGCAATCTCTCTTCTTTTTCAGTAAATTTTTTATCTACACCAGCCAGAAATCCCGGACGCCCTGGTTCTCTCTGTTGTTGTAAAAATAATCTATCCTCTTCTATTTCAATTTTATTTAAAGCCTCGGCATGTGCAACATCAAATAAATTATCCAACTCATTTTGAAAATCTTGCTCGCGTTTAATGTAAACTTCTTGGGGTTTTTTGCAATTTTTTTGTAAATCACGCCAAACTTGATAAAGAAATACTAACTTTTTAACACAGTTCGGAACTGCTCGGGTTGGTATTCTAGCCTTTTCCCAGAAGATTACACATTCACGAATTACAAGATTTGCACTTTCACTCACTGATAATTTAACTTCCCGTATACCTATTATAAAACAAAACTGCCAGGACTTGTGGCTTTGAAGGTAATTTTGCACCTGTTATCTGGTGTTTTAAGTCACCAACTAAGTAAATATCTTTTTTAGTCATTTCTAGTTCGACTGCCATTTTTCAAAAGCAATTTAATACGTGTTATTTTGCAAGTACAATAACTAATTGCAAGGTACGCGCCACTTGTCATCTGCAATTTTATTATTGCTGTGAACACGTGATAATAAGAGTATAAAAATGCACATGTTTTTGTTTTAGTCCCTTCAAAATATTTATAAAAATATTTTGATGTAAAATAGAAAGTGGCTTGTTACCCAGGAGTGTCGGGTAAATAGGCCCTAAAACTAATTACCCGAAACTCTATCAAATCATTTATGAACACCAAACTTATAAATTAAGACCATTTGACTCAAATGGTCTTACTTCATAAATTTGGTGTGCATAAATTTTACTAAGGGTTCAATAGCCATACGGAGAGAACATTCGTCTTTTAATCGGGGGGTTGTGAGTTCCAATCTCAGGTGTAGCATTTACTTTTTTTTTTTTAATTATTTTTGATTAAAAAACAATATTATTTTTAGTTATCTAAGCGATTTTATTGGGTTTTGGTTATTTTTTTGTTAATAAGAAGTTTACCGATAGGATAATCATATAAGAAATATAATCGTCTCTAATAGGGTGGTTGGATTAGGTGCTTTGTTTTTTTTTTGTTATTTTTTAATTGTCATTCAGATATAATAAAAAAAAGAGTTTCGGGTAATTAGTTTTACGGCCTATTCACCCGGGTAACTAGCCTCTTCCTGTAAAAATATTCATTTTTATCAAAGTATACACATAAATAAAACTATATTTTAACATTTGTCAATAATTTATAATATAAGGGTCACATAATAACAAACACAAAATGACTTACGATCGAAGACCTCGCGACCAACCGTGTTACAAAATACCACGCGCCTGACGTTGGCTAACGGAGGGTTCAGATGCAAGTCGGCACGGGTTCCCGTTTATAGAATGAGCTAAAATTTTTTTTGGGAGTATATACACGTAATAAATATAATTAGGGGGTATGCGTGAAAAAAAAAATAAGGGACACCCTAATATACATGGTATTGGATATGCATCATCTCCGAGATTGTGTCGCCCTATATATTTTTAAATTACAAAAAAATCAATGGAAAAAGTTTTGAACACACATAACAAAATATACAGTTAAAAAAAAAGTAACGATATCTGGAAAAAGTGACGCTGTTAAACGCAAGATGCAGTTTACTATGATAGATGGTAAGACATTTCATATGTAAAGCAAATCCTACTGAAATAAACGATTTTAAGAAAGTTGCTTGTAAGCCGACGAATGAAGAAGCTCTTGAATTTGGGTTATCCCCTTTGCATACTCGCATTAAGTTAATGGAATGCATATTGCATATAGCATATCCTTAAAAAAATGGGGTAACCAAGGAACCAAAAGAAAAAAAGAGAATTCAGGACGAATTTAAAACAAAAATGCATTATAGTAAAAACAGGGTCGGGAAAATCTAATTCTGGAAATCCATCAAGAAAATTTTTCATAAATCCAACCCTAGTTTTTAAAATAACAAAGGTGTTTAAATTAAATTAACCGGACATCAAAAAACAAGAATATCTTACATCATTTTATAAAACCCACGCGAAAAATGCAAAAACCTATTTAAAAAATAAAAACCCCATTTTTCTCATTTAAAATATTGTCTATTATAAATAAAATAAAAAATAAAATATTTATTTGTAATAAAAAAGTTTTTAATTATTTCCGCAAAACGGTGATTTTGACGATCTAAAAACGCATTACAAAATTAAAAGGTTAATTTTTTTATTAAAATATACTTAATTATACGCAATAAGTCTTACTGTCAGTAAAAAAAAATTATTTGTAAAGTTTCCGCAAAACGGTGGTTTTTGACCATTGTGCCTCGTGACGTCTCCAATCAAAAGAAGACACAAACAAAAACAATAAATGCTCGTAAATAAAAATTATTGTTTTATTTAACTAAATAATTAATGAAATTAATGGTCAATTATATTAGTAATAAACTGTAGTTTATAAATTATAATTTATAGTAATGTATTATTTATATTTATAATAATAAAAAAACAATTAAATCGCTTATTATTAAAAGGCACTAAGTCAATGTTTTAACAGTTTGAGTTATATACCTTTTACAAGATGGATCGTGAAGTGATGAAACGATAAAGCCTACACCACAAATTTTGTGGTATAGGTTCTTGAATAATTATTACCAAACGATTCATCTTGGCCACTGTAGTAACTAAAAAAGGTATGTCACTAAAAATGTCAAAAAATTGACTTAGACCCTTTTAATAATAAGCGATTCAATTATAAATTTGTAAGATTACCTATATTTTAAAGTTTTATAATACAGCTCAGCAGTGAAAATGTTTCGGGCTCAAAAATTTCTAACCTTATATAAACACCATGAAAAAGTAAGTTTAGCTATAATTGAGATGCAGAACCTCCTTAGTAACTAAAACTTAAATAACTCCAAATCCATTTTTTCCACTCCCACCTGTATTTTTCCCAAAAATTGTGGGGAAAGGTTTCAGATATCAGGGTTATTGATGCTAAGAGACTACTTCTGGACTGTGAGAAGGGGTGCTACAGATCTTACAAGGAATAAAGCAAAAGAAAACGGAGTACCTAGCGAAAGTCAAATTTATTGAAAAAATGTTTTTGTTTTAGTTATTTATTTCGATCACGCAATTCTGTACCTTAAGAACACACGCCTACACAAATTTTTGTTTGCCAGATTCGTGTGTCTTAACCCAAAATTAGTAAGATTTAGCAATTTAGGTAAAGGAAACAGAGAATTTTTTTTTCTGGGCTGTGTAATCTATTTAAATATATCATATATATATATTATATATGCCTGGATACTAATTTATTTAAATACTATTAATAATACTATATAATAAAAAATAAATTATAAATACAATTTTATATTTTAGACAATCCAATTACGCCTTACTGTAGCAGAATCATATTCAAACAAACATGCAAAGGTCTATCCAATAGGACACGTTATTGTTGGAAAACAAGCAAGTGGTCGTTCTTTAAGTCATTGGAATCAAATGCTAACAGCTTTAAGAAAACCAGTGGCTATGTGGCACAATCTTAGAAAGTAAAGTATATATCGTATGTATATTGATATTCTTCTTACTATTAAATATTGTACAACTAGACTTAATAAAAAAAATGTTAAATCAAAATAACAAATTTTATGGACATGATTCTACTATTATACATTTTTATAATACTGCTAGTTTTACTGTTACCACTTAGTTCTGTTTTTAATTTGTACAAGCAAAATTTTCTACTGGTGTATAAATATAAATTTTATTTAGTTATTAAAATAAATTAATTCAATTCAAAAGCATTTTGTAAAAAAATCGAGGTTAGGTATGGTCAAGAATCGAATAAACTTTAAGATCAAGTTTGTAAAGTGGTTCCAGAATGGCCATGAATGTTTATCGTTTTTAACAAATTCTTTATATTAAAAAGGTACTACCTATAATCTAAGCCTTACATTCTAAGGTCAAGATTGGTGCGAAAGGCTTCGAATTTTCTAGTTAATTATTCCTATTATATATATAGTCCGTCATTTTGAGTTTTTAACCGTCGAAAAATGCATGCTTTAAATAGCCCGATATTTTTTCATGTCCATATCAAAAGTATTACAATTAAATATATCAATAAAGAATGGGAAAATGTTTAACAGACGAATTTAATATTTTATGTCATATTTTGCTAATTAAATTATTATATATATATATGTTAGAAATTAATATTCAATATTAGTTATTAATTACATCAATTTATTTATCGCAATGGCGCCATCTATTGGTTAATTCATTCATTTATTGTTATGGCGCCATCTATCGGCTAACTGACACAGCACTGATAACAGGCCAATCGCATTAATTAAAAGAATTAAGCAGGCGGCATTATCAGTGAACAGTTCGTGTCGTTTTGTACGTTGATATTTTGCAATAAAAAGTAGATTTAAATTAGTGATAACGTGCAGTTTATTTCATCAGAAGTGGGATATTGCGGTGTACTAGGACATTAATATGGAAAACATTTTGGAAGTGTTTCAAAAACTAAACGAAACTTTGACAAGTGTCGCGTCCCGTAGTTCGAACATCGCGCTGCCGCCGATCGACCCGGCAACAGCTGATTGTGGCGCTCTACCTTGGTGCAATGAAATCGAGGAAATAGGAAAGGAGTTTAATTGGAGCCACTTAAAAATTGCAGTGAGAGCAGGCAAGGTTCTACGTGGAGAGGCAAAAAATTGGTATTCAACATGGCAGCCCGACAAGAAAGACTGGAAGGCATTTCGCAGTACCATAGTTGATTTATTTCCGCCTAAACGGAACTTAGGTGAGCGACTAAAAAAGGCTATATTATTAAATTCAGATCGTTTCGATTCATATTGCGAGTACGCTAGAGAAAAAATTAACTTAATCACAAAAACTCAAGTAAAGTTTAGTGAACAAGAAATTATCGAAATTGTTATTGGCGAAATCAGTGACAATACTATAAAAATGGGGGCCCTAAACAGTAATATTTCAACTACAAGCGAGTTAATCACTTTATTATCGTCTTATACTAAAACACCGCGAAAAAGAACACTTGCTGGTGGTGACAACTTTGAACCACCTCCAAAATTCAAAAAGCGGGTTGAATCAAGGGTTTGTTTTACGTGTAATAGACCGGGACACCTAGCCGCCCCTTGCCCAGAGAAAATTAAGCTGCACGGGTATAGCGGCAATTCAACTAGTTCTACGACATTTTCGAGAGGCTTGAACACGCCAAATAAAGAAAGTTTTCGCTCGAAAAAGGTCGCTTGTACGTTTTGTAATAAACTTGGTCATTCAGAAGACCGATGTTGGTCTAAACAGAACAAAGCAAAACAAATAAATTTTTGTGAAAAATCA